TCCTCCCCGCGTTTGGATCCTCATCTGATCACCGCTCCACTCACCAGGCACGCATGTTCGTGACAGAATGACACGACCCCCTGAAGGGTCCAGCGGGGAGATCCTCCCATGGAAGTATTTGTTCCAGTTCCTCTCCGCCGACTATCGACCGGCTCCTCCTTCCCCAGCTCCAGCTCCGCCTCGCCGCAGACGGCGTCCCCGACCTTCTGCCTCGGCGTTCCTCGCCGCCCTTCCGGAACCGGACGGGAAGTTGGAGGGAGAGACGCTCCGGGATCGCTCCAGCTTTGAGGGCACAAGGCTGGCTTTCTGCTCCCCCGGGGTCGGTCCACGGCGTGGGGAGAGACGCCGGAATCCACCGCAGCCCTGTGTTTCGGGACGGAGCTGCGAGCCCGCCGCTGGCAGTGCTCGGCGCGCCGGTTCGGTCACGCCCCCGGTCAGACCAGCGGTCCCGTCTCCGGCTGAATCGGCGTCTGCAGGTGGAGGAGCTGCGCCCGCAGTTCAGCTGACGGACGTTGCCAATCTCCGAGCTGAGTTGGTCCAGATGCGCCAGACCCTCGTTCTCGAGAGGCTCGAGCTGGAGAATCTGCTCGCTGCTTCAGCTGGATGCAGCAGCGTGGACCCGCCCCCAGTCGGACCAGCTGTCCCGCCTCCGGTCCGATCGGCTTCTCCGTCATCTGCAGGAGGTGGAACAACGCCCGCAACCCAGCCGACTGAGCTTGCCAGTCTCCGGGCTGAGCTGGTCCAGATCCAACAGCTCTCCAATTCTAATAAGCTCCTAATGGACTCTCTGCACTCCCTGTCTCCAGCACCACCCGTTCACTCAATGCCTGTTCCAGCGGGGGGTCCAGAAGCAGACGGCGTGGGCCCAGAAGCTGACGGTACCAGCCCAGAAGTTGGCGGTTCGGAGACCGGCGGTCCAGAAGCCAGAGGACCAGAAGCGGATGAAAGTCAACACCTCCTCCAATCCAAGGGTCGATGCCTCCAATCCAAGGGTCGATGCCTCCAATCCAAGGGTCGATGCCTCCAATCCAAGGGTCGATGCCTCCAATCCAAGGGTCGATGCCTCCAATCCAAGGGTCGACGCCTCCAATCCAAGGGTCGACGCCTCCAATCCAAGGGTCTACGCCTCCAATCCAAGGGTCGACGCCTCCAATCCAAGGGTTGACGCCTCCAATCCAAGGGTCAACGCCTCCAATCCAAGGGTCGACGCCTCCAACCCAAGGGTCGACGCCTCCAACCCAAGGGTCAACGCCTCTGAAGTTGGCTCGTCTGACGACGCCGCCTCGTCTGAAGTCGCCTCCTCTGAAGTCGGCTCGTCCGATGACGTCGCCTCCTCTGAAGTCGGCTCGTCCGATGACGTCGCCTCCTCTGAAGGCGGCTCGTCCGATGACGTCGCCTCTTCTGAAGTCGGCTCGTCTGAAGTTGCCACCTCCTCTGATGACGTCGCCTCCTCCCAAGTCGGCTCATCTGATGTCGCCTCCTCCTCTGATGACGTCGCCTCCTCCCAAGTCAGCTCGTCTGATGTCGCCTCCTCCTCTGAATTCGACGCCTCCTCACAAGTCGGCTCGTCTGATGTCGCCTCCTCTGAATTCGACCCCTCCTCCCAAGTCGGCTCGTCTGATGTTGCCTCCTCTGAAGTCGACGCCTCCTCTGACGTTGCCTCCTCCCAAGTCGGCTCGTCTGATGATGCCTTCCAAGTCGGCTCGTCTGATGACGCCTTCCAAGTCGGCTCGTCTGAAGTCGCCTCCTCTGATGTTGGCTCGTCTGATGTCACCTCCTCTGAAGTCGACGCCTCCTCTGATGACGTCGCCTCCTCCCAAGTCGGCTCGTCTGATGACGTCGCCTCCTCTGATGTCGGCTCATCTGATGTCGCCTCCTCTGAAGTTGACGCCTCCTCTGATGACGTCGCCTCCTCCCAAGTTGGCTCGTCTGATGTCGCCTCCTCTGAAGTCGACGCCTCGTCTGAAGTCGACGCCTCCTCTGAAGTCGACGCCTCCTCTGAAGTCGGCTCTTCTGACGTCGTCGCCTCCTCTGAAGTCGGCTCTTCTGACGTCGTCGCCTCCTCTGAAGTCGGCTCGTCTGACGACGTCGCCTCCTCTGAAGTCGGCTCGTCTGACGACGTCGCCTCCTCTAAAGTCGGCTCGTCTGATGACGTCGCCTCCTCTGAAGTCGGCTCGACTGATGACGTCGCCTCCCCTGAAGTCGGCTCGTCTGATGACGTTGCCTCCCCTGAAGTCGGCTCGTCTGTTGACGTCGCCTCCCCTGAAGTCGGCTCGTCTGATGACGTCATCTCCCCTGAAGTCGGCTCGTCTGATGACGTCGTCTCCCCTGAAGTCGGCTCGTCCGATGACGTCGCCTCCCCTGAAGTTGGCTCGTCCGATGACGTCGCCTCTGGTCTGACGTCTCCTCCGTCTCCAGTTCCAATGGTGATTCTGAAGGTCGCTCCGGTCCAGCCTGTGTCCCCAGCCCAGCCTGCTGGGCTCCTCTACCGCAGGCGCCACCCTCCCAGGGCCCGTCGCCTCCTCTTCTGCCGCAGGTGCCGGCCTCCAGGGGTCCGTCGCCTCCTCATCTGCCCCAGGCGCAGGCCCCCAAGGGTCCGTCCTCGTCTCCTCATCTGCCCCAGGCGCAGGCCCCCAAGGGTCCGTCCTCGTCTCCTCATCTGCCGCAGGCGCCGGCCTCCAAGGGACCGTCCTCGCCTCCTCATCTGCCCCAGGCGCAGGCCCCCAAGGGTCCGTCCTCGTCTCCTCATCTGCCCCAGGCGCCGGCCTCCAAGGGCCCTTCGCCTCCTCATCTGCAGCAGGGGCAGGCCTCCTGACTCTGCTGATCCCTGCCACCTCTCCTGTGGTCCCTCGGTTCCTCTGGGCCCTCCCTCCGGGTCCCCCTCCTCCCGCCCTGCTCCTTGTTCCTGTAGGCGTCTGGGATCCGCCCTTTGAGGGGGGGGGGGGGGGGGGGGGGGGGTACTGTCATGCCCTGTCCTGTCTACTCTTAGGTTTTGTCTGTTCTCCGTTAATTGCTCCCACCTGCCTCTTGTTTCCCAATCACCATAGCTCCCGCTCCTCTTGTATTTAAACCCCTTCTGTTCTGTGTTCCCGGTCGTGTCATTGTTTCAATGTCCAGCGTGTGTTTCTAATAAACCTTTGTTAAACGGACTCACCTGTTCGCCTTGTTCCTCCCCGCGTTTGGATCCTCATCTGATCACCGCTCCACTCACCAGGCACGCACGTTCGTGACACAGAGAGTGTAGGGGCGTTATCAAAGAGATATCCCCTTTCTCAGACACTTAGAAAGGCTTATTTTCTCTTAATGTGAAGTAAATATGTTATACAGTCATTTGTTAATACTGATATTAACATGTGGCATAACTGATAATAAATCATTATTAAGTCATCAAGTAGACTCATTTGGTGTATTTAAGATCTGACATAAGAAATGTCAATAATAAACATTTATGTTGATTCACTCATTACTGTAAAGCAGTCAAGACATTATTAAATCACTTTAGATTAAGCATTCATTATAGAGAACACAGCCATGGTTCTGTACTGTAAAAGGGTGTCTTGCCAACTCTGTGCCAAGAGAGGTCCTGAGAGTTTAAGTATCTTGGGGCATTGTTCACAAGGGAGGGAAGATTGGGGCAGTGTCTGCAGTGATGCCGATGCTGAACCGGTCTGTCGTGGTGAAGGGAGACAAGAGGCTCTCAATTTAGTGGTCGATCTTTGTTCCAGCCCTTACGTATGATCATGAGCTTTGGTAATGACTGAAAGAACAAGATACAAGTGGCCAAAATGGTGGGTGGCCAGGCTCAGCAGTAGAGAATATGTGAAGAGCTTGGACATTCAGGAGGGACTCAAAGTAGAGTCACTGCTCCTTCGTAGCGAAAGGAGTAGGCTGAGATGGTTCAGACATCTTGGCAGGATGCTGCCTGGACACCTTCCTTGGGTGGTGTTTCGGGCATGTCCTGCTAGCAGGAGCCCCCCGGGTCGACCCAGGACACGTTAGAACAAGTACATCTCTGAACTGGCCCGGGAATGCCTTGGGGTCCTGCCGGAGGAGCTGGTAGAGGTGGACGGGGAGAGGGCTGTCTGGGATGCCCTACTTGAGATGCTAGCCCCATGACCCGAACTCAGATAAGCAAAGGAAAACGAACAAACACGCAACATTTTGAACATAAAATATTCTTCAAACTACATTTAATAATTTTTGAAGTATCTGTTCTGCTGCTATTCGTAAGTGAGAATGAAAAAGCAGTCATTTTGACGTAAACAGAATAAAATGATATATTATGATACATATTTTAGGCCATATGGCACATTCCCATACATACCCCAAAAAAAAAAAATAATAATAATAAATCAGCTTTTATCAAGCACCCCCCCCCCCCCCCTGCATGTTTTCCACATCTCTGCTTCAGCCCACCTGATTTACATATTTGCATCGCCTTCTCAGAATGACATCACGTGCTGCAGATACCTGTTAATCACTCATTCATTTAGATCAGGTGTGTGTGGCAGCAGGGAAACATCTACAACATAGGATAGCGGGGCGCTGAGGACCACGGTTAAGAAACATAACATGAAGGAAAAACCAGAACAAGGGCTTCAAGCCTCGTTCACATCAAATGCAGAATGGATGTGGTCCAGTTTCACATGGATCAGTGTTAAGGAGAAATTATTTTCATTTAATAATCAGTTGTACGTTTCACTTTTGGGGAATCATCAACATGATTGACAAAGATGGTACTCGTGGTGTGAGAAAATGACCCAGGGGTCCACAAAAAAGGTTTTGACACTGCTCTAGCTGGCTTCAAAGAGTGATTCCTTCATACTACAGAAACTGTGTTGCTGGCTAAGCAGGGAATCTCATTTTTAGTAGGACAACCCACAAGTTCAAATGTTCACACAACAAAGAGGGGGACATGAATTCTGACTAAAACACAAAGCAGGAAACGTTTCAGGGAAAAGTGCACATAGTTGTCAGCTAGCAGGGTAATGGAAACTTACCAGACATGTTTCAACTAGCATATTTACTTTGAAAAGACCGTTCATTCGGTAGGTGAATACGCTGCACCCTCTGGTTGAGAGTTAGGGTCCAAGAAGTCTGGGTGCTGCAGGTCCTTCAGGTATTTAGTAGGTGTGAGGATGTGAGTGGAGCCTATGGAGAGAAAATGACCCAGTTCTGCATCAAAGCATGTTGAGGACAACACTCGTGACAAATATTACATTTAAAATGACAGTGAAAGAAAAAGGACTTGAGACCAAACATTCTGTCATGTTGGACAACCTTTTCTATACTTTAGAAAGTCGTACATTTGCAAGAATAAATTCCTCATTTTTGAATTTATGAATTCAGAAATGTGTAAGAAAAAAGTGAAAACTTTCAGGGCTAAATTATTACGTTTACCAGACAAAACTAAACTAAACCCCTGTGATAGTTTTGGAAGTAGACTTTCATTTTCAGCATTTTCACAGGAAATCTGGACTTTGTTCTCACAAATCTGACTTTCCGTCAGAAAGTATCCATGTTTGTCACATTTAGTGCAGAGGAAAATAATCTTGGAATTTATGAGATTTTCTTTTCTTTCGTTTATTGAGTCTTCATACCTGTAATGTGGCTAGAAACTCATTTTCAACCGAGCCTAATAAAAATAGGTGGGCCCAATAAAAGTACCGTATTTTCCGGACTATAAGCCGCTACTTTTTTCCCACGCTTTGAACCATGCGGCTTATAATGAGGTGCGGCTTTACTGAAGACACACACACACACGCACACACACACACACACACACACACACACACACACACACACACACACACACACACACACACACACACACACACAAGACAAAGTAATGTGTCTATAGTTATATTGTGATGTCTTAGTAAATATTCTATTTGGTATCGGTGGTCGGATTTTTAAACAGGTTGGCTGATTAGCCGTAAATCGGATCCCGCTGTGTTTTAGAACACAGTCGAAGGGCGGAGTCGTAAGCCTAAATCTGACCTCATGCCAAAGAAAAGACGGTGTGGTATCTAAAAAATGGGAAATAAAATCTCACAAACACCTTTGAGTAAAGACGCTGCATTCATGGAAATGAAACATCCAGGAAATGAGGAAACTATCAGGAGATGGATCACAAAACATGATTTCTCTGGTATTGATAACCGCTGACGTGTTGCACTTACAGGGTAACCTTAAAGTTGAGATAGTAAAAGAGAGAAATGAGAAAGTTCCAAATGAACTATGGTTACGAGGAAGCACAGAGCGGTGGAGAGAAAGAGAAGGGTTGAAGATGTGAAACAGAGAGGAAGCACAGCCTGCCTCAAAATCCACACAACAGCTGCTGTGCTCTGAGCAAATAAGGTCTTATCAACTGAGGCCTGAAGGTTACTTAACTAGAACATAAAGATGAAAAATGAACTCCTTGATGCAAAATGGTCACTACAGTGGACAGGTTCTCAAAATTGTAATTTATTTATTTATTTCTTATCTATTAAGCACAGCTGTTGAAGACTTTAGTGCATTTGAGCCCCTCCATTTGGACTTCAGTAAGCCAAGCCAACATATTTCATGTTCAGAATACACGCTGTCCACTGAGGTGGACATGTAAAATTATTTGCAAATTATTAAATGTTACAAAAAATATTTGTTGAAATTAGTTTCATTCACACCTGAAGATGAATGAAAATAATTGTTAAAAAATCATGGTTGAAGATTTCATAATTCATGCAGCAAAGGGTTAAGCACTGACCAAATATTTAATTCCTGGTAATTGGTGACAAATATAATTTGAACTATAAACTGTGTCACTTTTAGTGGCTGAAAGAGAAAGGGTTTTAGTGGAACCCCTCGATTTGAGAAATTGACTGTTTATCAGTACTTGGTAGTAAAAGAGAGCCCAATAAAAGCTAAATGTGTAGGTTTTTAGTTGAAACCTCTTGGGCTGAGGGATTGACTGTGTGGTTAACAGTAATCCCAGACCAACAAAACTAGTGACTATTGTCAAATTGGATTTTATCTCCTTGCTTTTGTTTTTAATCTTTGTCTCTGTCAAGACGAAGGGATTTTCAGTAGACAGACAGACGACACCCAGGTGACAGATTTGGTATGCAGTACCTGTTGGAAGTCAAAAACTGCATTTTGAACTCTAAAAAATATTGTTTGTATAAACTGAATCTCCTGGCGTCTGTCAAATGTAGGAACTTGTTCAGATCTCCAATTAGCGGACCTTGTGATCAAACAAGGGGAGAAACTGTCTGGAAGTAAGACTAATAATGAGACAGCAGATTAAAGCTGTTGTAGGGAATTTACATTTAAAAAGTTTAAATTGTTTTAATTCTTCATGTGTTCTCAGACTGGGAACTTTGAAATGCTTTAAGACAGAATTTCATGCTCCTCTGTGTCTGGGTTAAACAGCAAGGTCGTATGAGAAAAACATATATATCCTTACAGACCTTGGTCTCAAGTAAGGCAATATTCTATCAGCCATATGATTCTTAAGCAGAAATCAGAAAAGGCTTCAAAATATAATTCCTGAAAGAAAAACAAAACCAAAGAGAGAGTAACTCCAAGTTAACCCTTTAGGCGCCATCAGTTTTTCAGTAAAATATGAATTTCTTATATCACTATTTAAGGAGCTTGAAGCTTAAATCTGGTTAGAGACAGAGGAATATGGTAAATTAGAAAAATCTTCAGTACAAGCCAAATTTTGTGATAGGAACAAATTCACTCACATAATTTGCATATTATGATGTCATCAGGCAGCAGCCATATTGGATTGCATCACATTCACAGATTTTTTTTAAATGTTTTGTTTTCCTATTTTCTAAGTGTTGTTATTGTTTATGATACATATATACATATTCCTATGTAGACATATATAACTATGTATGTATATGTATATATATATATATATATATATATATATATATATATATATATATATATATATATATATATATATATATATATATATATATATATATATATAAAACGTTGTTACCATGTTCCGAGAATGTGGTTCTAAAAATGTTCTCTAACAACATTATTAGAACTTTTGTCAATCATGAATAACGTTGTAAAGACATTATAAGAACGTTGTCAACGTTCTTTGAATGTGTATAATGTTTTTGTGATTAATTAAAGTTCTCAAAATGCTGAAAGAAAACATTCCTAGAACCATGTTCTTGTAAAGTCTTTACAACGTTATTTATGGTTGATGAAAGTTCTAACAATGTTTGTTAGAAAACATTCTTTGAACCACATTATTGGAACGTCGTACCAACATTATTCGTGACTGATGAAAGTTCTCATTATGTTGTTTGAAAACATTCATAGAACCACATACTCGGAACGTTTTCACAACATTATCTGTGATTGATGAAAGTTCTCACAATGTTGCTGGAAAACATTTTTAGAACCACATTCTTATAATGTCTGTACAACGTTATTCATGATTGATGAAAGTTCTCATAACGTTGTTAGAGAACATTTTAGAACAACATTCTCGGAACATGGTAACAACGTTATTTATTATTGATTAAAGTTCTATTAGTGTTGTTAGAAAGCATTCTTAGAACCACATTCTTATAATGTCTTTACAACGTTATTCATGATTGATGATAGTTCTCATAACAATGTTATTCATGATTGATGAAAGTTCTCATAACATTGATAGAGAACATTTTAGAACCACATTCTCGGAACATGGTAACAACGTTATTCATGATTGATGAAAGTTCTCTTAGTGTTGTTAGAAAACAGTCTTAGAACCAAGTTCTTATAATGTCTTTACAACGTTATTCATGATTGATGAAAGTTCTCATATCGTTGTTAGAGAACATTTTTAGAACCACATTCTCAGAACATGGTAACAACGTTATTTATTATTGATTAAAGTTCTCTTAGTGTTGTTAGAAAACATTCTTAGAACCACGTTCTTATAATGTCTTTACGTTATTCATGATTGATGAAAGTTCTCATAACGTTGTTAGAGAACATTTTTAGAACCACATTCTCAAACATGGTAACAACGTTATTTATGATTGATTAAAGTTCTCTTAGTGTTGTTAGAAAACATTCTTAGAACCACGTTCTTATAATGTCTTTACGTTATTCATGATTGATGAAAGTTCTCATAACGTTGTTAGAGAACATTTTTAGAACCACATTCTCAGAACATGGTAACAACGTTATTTATGATTGATTAAAGTTCTCTTAGTGTTGTTAGAAAACAGTCTTAGAACCAAGTTCTTATAATGTCTTTACAACGTTATTCATGATTGATGAAAGTTCTCATATCGTTGTTAGAGAACATTTTTAGAACCACATTCTCGGAACATGGTAACAACGCTATTTATGATTGATTAAAGTTCTCTTAGTGTTGTTAGAAAACAGTCTTAGAACCAAGTTCTTATAATGTCTTTACAACGTTATTCATGATTGATGAAAGTTCTCATATCGTTGTTAGAGAACATTTTTAGAACCACATTCTCAGAACATGGTAACAACGTTATTCATGATTGATTAAAGTTCTCTTAGTGTTGTTAGAAAACATTCTTAGAACCACGTTCTTATAATGTCTTTACGTTATTCATGATTGGTGAAAGTTCTCATAACGTTGTTAGAGAACATTTTTAGAACCACATTCTCAGAACATGGTAACAACGTTATTTATGATTGATTAAAGTTCTCTTAGTGTTGTTAGAAAACAGTCTTAGAACCAAGTTCTTATAATGTCTTTACAACGTTATTCATGATTGATGAAAGTTCTCATAACGTTGTTAGAGAACATTTTTAGAACCACATTCTCAGAACATGGTAACAACGTTATTTATTATTGATTAAAGTTCTCTTAGTGTTGTTAGAAAACATTCTTAGAACCACGTTCTTATAAATGTCTGTACAACGTTATTCATGATTGATGAAAGTTCTCATAACGTTGATAGAGAACATTTTTAGAACCACATTCTCGGAACATGGTAACAACGTTATTTATGATTGATTAAAGTTCTCTTAGTGTTGTTAGAAAACAGTCTTAGAACCACGTTCTTATAAATGTCTGTACAACGTTATTCATGATTGATGAAAGTTCTCATAACGTTGTTAGAGAACATTTTTAGAACCACATTCTCAAACATGGTAACAACGTTATT